TACAAAGCGGAACTTGTCTGTTCTCTTTTATTAATAGGGTTTCTCAGAGGCTGGTAGTTAAGTATTTCTCTGAATTTCAATCATTCCAGAACCATTTAATGTGGCAACTATTTAGCCGCTCAAGGAGTTGATAAAAATGATTCTGTCTATGTAAGATTTTTTTTACATTTATTCTCTAGCTTTGCAAATGTTACAATCTGTCATCTGATCCCCTTGGTGGAAAAAGAGGACCTCTGTCCTGAAAACGGACAGGTATGAGTTGTTAAGAACACAGCATACAGCACTGAGGGAAATGACTATATTTGATCCTACTTGCTGTAACACATGGAGCCCAGCCAGGTCTTCCCTCACTGCACCAGGGAAGAGCCGAACTACAGAGCATCATTCTGAGAGGGTCCAGGTGAAATGAGAGGATGGAAGACAGATTTACTTCTGCCTAGAGCGTTGGTGCGTGGTACTATTTTTTGTGTTTTTATTTTTTGAGACAGGGTTTCATGTAGCCCAAGCAAGTCTGAAACTCACTATGCCACCAATGATAAAGGAACTCCTGATCCCCTGACTCCACTTCCCAAGTTCGCTGAGATTATAGGTGTGTGCCACCATGCCCGGCAAGGGTACTATTTATTAGAAGTTTAATGCTCCTTTGGTATATAAGCATGGGCTTGGGCCAAACTTAACAGTCAAAGGAGACTTAAGATTTACATGGTGAAAACCCCATTTTACAAATAAAGAAAATAAAGTCAAATGAAGTGATTTGTGGCCAAGGCAGGTGTAGAACCCAGGACTCCGGATGTTGGCTACACCAAACTGCTAAAGAGGAAAGACCACATCAGAGGAAACAAAGGTAAATGTTTCATCTGAGGAAGAAAGGTCTTTTTTTTTCTTCTAAACTTTGTCTCTGTCTAGACTAGGTAGTGGCTCTATCACACCATGTCACCTGTTGGGTGACCACTCAGTAAGGTGGCTCTTCTCAAGCCATTCTTAGATACTCCAGACCCTCGCTCAATATTCCTCCCACACTCCGGTAACTTTCCCACAGTCCCTATTGGCAAGATCACCTTGAAATTCTGCCCGCAGCTTTCTGGCGATGGCCTAACTAAATCACCCACAGTACAAATTCACCTGGTCCCCAGCTCATAGCAACCAACGTTCTGAGGACAATATTCCTATTTATCGTTCCCTGCTTTGGCATCACCCTTATTTCCGATTTCCAGCTGTAGGTAAGACACATCTTCTAGATTCTTCCTTTTGACCTGCCCCCAGGAGAACTCTTTCCATGACTTCTAAACTAGCCCATCATAGCCGCTTGGTCCCCTGCAGCTCCACTGATCTGACTCCCTGATCCAGCTCTGGCCTTCCCCGTCTTACATCAGAGCTGTGACAACAGCACTCCAATAGCTTTCCTGCTTTCAGGTGAGCCCACCCTTTGCACTGATGGCAAGTGTCTGTGTCAAGGGGAGCATTGCACTCGAGTTACTGTTCTGACCCAAACTGTCCCATAGCCTCCCGTTATCTTAAAATGAAATCAAAGCTATTAACGTTTCCTCAAGCTGGAGCATTGTTCAGTCAATATTTACTGATGCCACGTTCTGTTCTGGGTACCAGCGATGTGGCAGTTTAACAAGACACAGTCTCTGCCCACATGGAACTGTCTATTCTAGGGAAGAGATACAGGATAGAAATGACTGTGTATAAAACTCTGGAGTAGAAAATCTCCTGAGATAAAAGGGGAATAGCACCTAACTCAGACTGAGGGGGAAACTTTAGATAGCAAAGGAAGCAAGGTAGGAGTCAAGTCAGGCTTTCTAGAAGAAAGGTAAGGAGGGAATCTGCCAAGAGATCGAGATGGTGGATCAGAGATGGTGAACAACGTTTCACACAGAAAACACAACAGGTGTGCCCTGATGTCTGAGCTCCTCTTCCTGTAAGCTAGCCGACATCTACTCAACAACTTCTTTGATCTCCTGTTTCTATTTCTAAATTTTCAAGGTCTGGCTCCATGACTATTCACACCCTTGAGTTTCACTGGACATTCTAACCAGAAACGGTCTCTGTTGCCTGAACGCTTAGCCTGCAGACTTCCATACCTATACAGAATGAATGGTCTCCTGCTACCACCGAATGTCAGACTAGAGTATCGGTCTCACCTGGTTTTCCTGCCTCCTGCCTCTTCCAACCATCATGTAGACATTTGCACACTCAAATACACCTCAGGAATCCTCCTAATCACCCTCCACCTGCTCATTCCCATGAGTCATGTTCCAGACTAACTTCACTTTTTCCTCATGAGACCCATTCTTCTCCCAAGCGTCTTCAGGTCTCATTGGCCTTTACAGTCAGTGTCGGGCTGTTTCTCTAACAGGACGGTAACTTCCTTGGAAGCAGGGTCTGCTTTCCCACAGCCTACCCAGGAAGGCTGTGCCACAACAGTAAGGCAACTACTGATGACGTTACATACTTGCTGACATCTTAGAGCAGAGGACCTTCTTACACAGGGAAAGCTGAGAGTTTACTGGGGAGAACACCCAGCAGTGAAGAGGATCACAAGCAGGGGAAGTTCACCAAGGGGAGGAAAGCTCGGCTGGGGTCTAAGCCAAGTCAAGACCCAACACAGCACCTCACTTTTCTTGTTTGCTTACATGAATGTTTTGGAGAAACACCAAAGAGTTAGCGTTGTTTTTTTTCTTTTTTTGCTGCTTAGAGTATAACACTGTTGAGTTTCCACCAGAACAGAAAAGGGAAGTGCTTTGCAATGAATTCAAAGAACTATTTAGGACTGTTTGTTTATATATATATATATATATATTTTTTTTGGTCTTTTTGAGACAGGGTCTCCCTGTAGCCCCAGCTGTCCTGGAACTCATTATGTAGACCAGGATGGCCTCGAACTCATGGAGATCTGCCTGCCTTGGCTTCCCAAGTGCTGAGAATAAAGGCATGCACAACAACCCCC